CTCCCCAGGTGGTATTGATGTTAAAATGGGAGACGTCTTCAACTTAGACTCTTAGGCCTGACAGTCTATATTGTAGTCCCCCGCAGGGAGTGTCTCTAAAGTCAAGGACCAATACCCTGCTTAGGGCGTGGAGGTATGGGTGGATGCCTCAACTAGAGCCAAAATCTCCCATAACTCATATTTTGGCCCATAACTTTCCAGCTGCACAAGTGACATTCCACCCGCAGGTAGATTATTATGCAGACACGTCTGAGGATTGATTAGATATGAATTATGAAATTATACACTGTGCGGTTCACGAGATCTACTTTTCTGTTTTCCTATGTATCCGGGACAATGCGAGTGACTTATCAAAATGTTCGCCTTCTCGTGGCCAGTCTGATGATAGGTCCGGTTTTTTTATGTAAGTCTCTCATATTCCAAGATATGAGACATAGGGGGAGAAATGGATTTTGAAAAGTGTTTATGTGTTTAAGTGATTCTGTCACCTACGCTGAGTTAGGTTTATTAGGTTGGAATCTCTTTCAACTCCTGGGAAAGCTTGCCTTATCTCTTACGAGGTGGTACAATTTGCAGGTTGTTTGGACAGGAAGGCCCCGGCTCCCTTGGGGGGCTTTATAGCTCCTATGACCCTCCTGTGACATTCCCAACTCACACACATACTGGCCAAATGTCACTGGGCCTCTCTAAGGAGGGAGGGGGGAAGAATGAGGGAGAAATATATTTGTCAGGATGGTTAATTCCTTTGCCAAGATGGAGGTTGAAGCCAAAATGGTTGAACCGCGTCCATCTCTGGGTATACGCTGTTACAGTTATAGCTGCAAAGGGTGGGCCAAGTCAATATTGAACCCTACGGACTTAGACTGGGATGTCAGTAAAGTTCAAGTGCATGTAAAGGCAGGCACCCCAATACTTTTGGCAATATAGTGAATCTCTAAGGGGTTCTTCTTTACACTGACTCCCAGTGTAAGAAACATTCTTCACACTGCCCACCTTTATAAGGGGGCACTAACCACCAATGTGAAGGTCGCTTTTTCCACTGACCATTAATGTAATGGGAACACTACAATTTTCATGTTCTGTATTTTTCTACCAATTATTATTACTACTATTAATATTATTAGTTACAGTTAATTATTATTACTGAAATAGTTTTGACATATAGACCAGTCCTGGATGTCAAATAAGTCATGTATGCCACATTTGTTTTTCTTTTATTTTTATTCTTATATTTATATCCACAATGAACTGTTCCCAGTAATGTTCCATTACCTGAAGAAATAATAATAATTAACAGGGGGTTCCCGAAACCTGCAATTTATTTCAAGGTTTCCTCCATGTTAAAAAGGCTGAGAAAGACTGATCTAGAACTACAGTATGGTATTTGCTAAGAACAGAGACAGCATTGCCTACTGAGAACAGAAATCCTAACCATTTTTTCTTCATTTAGAGATTCTCCTAACACATTTACAGAGAATGAAGATTACCAGAATAGTTTTTATGGACACTGAATGGCACAAACAGCTCTAAAAACTAACACAGTACCTTAGGTATATTTATTGAACAGCAGACTCTATAGACATGTGTATGTTTAGTCAAGTGTTCCTTCTGCTGGTATAAATAAGTATGGAAATTAGCAGTTCAGTCCCTGCTGCCCCATTGATGGCTATAGTCATGACCTCAGTGTCATGTTATCTCAATACGCGGCCCAAAATCTAAACCTATAATCACTTGAGAGAACAAGTTCTTCAACAAAATACATAAATAGCAAAGTTAAACAAGACTTACAGGCTCATTTCCTTGTTTCAGATGCTCAAAGATCGATTCAAAATTTTCTTTGAAATGCTCTTTAACTACATCTTTTATCAGTTTGAATAGCCAGGACCGATCTTTGTCATCCACTAGGCGGTCATAGAACACTCTCAACACTTCATGGACGAACAGACGCACCATGACACGCTTGTTCTCTACAGCTTCTTTCTTGATAAGCAGGCACCCCTGAACCACCCGAGAGAAGTCCCGAAGATTAAAAGTGTAATGAGATTTGGCTGGGGTGGGCAGCAAGTTCTCCATGGCCTTTTTGTACACCTAAGGTTACCAAACACAAAAAATGTCAGTGAATAGTAGCTAAATGAATACTACAATGGACCATAAAGCATTTATTCATACATGTTTCTAATGATTCTAATAAATCAGTAATACAGGTCCAGTTATATATTATTATTATACAGTATTTATATAGCGCCAAAAAGTTTGCTCAGCGCTGTACATTGTAGTGGGGGATAGTACATGAGACAATACAGTAACAATACAATACACGAGGGGTTCGAGGGCCCTGCTCTTTGGAGCTTACAATCTAGGATCACACTAATATATAATATCTTTGGTGTGGTTGGATGTCACATTAGGTTATCAGCTATTTTTGAGTGCTAGGAGGCTAATTAGCAACAGGCTACAGTGTCCATCAACCAAATAGATCAATGTATAGAATTAAAGGATATCCACTATGCTTCCATAGTAAGGTCCTGAAATGTTTGGTAAGCTGTCTGTAAATGAACAGATCCTTATTGTATATTAATATTTGTTTTCAGTCATTTTAGCATGAAGCTGTTAACTAGAATGCATTTCTGTCAATTAAGTCAGTAGAGAGATATCTATATTTTCCCTTTATAATAGTAAATCCAGTTCAAAAAAGATATGTGCACCTAGATTGCTTAACTTTTTTATTAACAGATCTTAAATACAAACATAATTTATCAAAGTGCCTGGTTCTCTAGCTACCTAATTAGATTCCCTATTTCATTCCTCAACTATAATTTTCCAATGACAGCTAAAACCTGATTGCTCTACAGCAATGCCCAGTATAAAGTCTAATTGCAGACACTACAGCAATGAGACCCAGTTGTGTTTCATGGACAATGGTCAGGGGAGGATTGGGAACTTCGACCTGGAGGTACAAATACAACCAATTGGCCTTTTTAGGTATAACACCCTGCCATAATACTGCTTGCAGGATGTTATATGGACACAAGATGGCAGTGTCCTGCAGTCCAGTTATTCAAACTCTGTTGAAAAGCTTTGTGGGATTCATAGGCTGATTGCAGGACTTCATTATTTGACAGCAAGCTAACAAACTACATTTTGAGGAGCTGGCAGATGGGCTAAGGCAAATAAATACAAAAGCCTTGGAAGTGGATGGAAGAGAGCTGGAGAGCAGGTGTAAGGGGAAAACTGTGCAGGATGCTAAAGGTCCAAGGTGGGCCACAGAGAGTGGAGGAGAGAGGAGGAATCACTGACCGCTGACACTGCTGACACCACTGAAAAGTCCGGAGTGATTCCTGGAGAAGGAACCATGAGGAACCGAGGGCCCCTATCTACAGAGAGATTATCTGCCACCTGACTAAGGCCACAGATCGGGTGAGAGAGTCCCATAATCAAGCCATCTAAGTTGCACATGACATTACTTAATCCAGTTACATTCTATTCAGTTTGACTACCATTGGTTCTCAAGTTACACGTGTTAAGGCCCAGATTGTTCGGCATACTAGTTATTACACTTACAGCATATCCAAGAGCCTACTGCGATATCTGCCCACAGCAGGTCAAGTTGTATTATTGCAACATGCCTTTTCATATATATATATATATATATATATATATATATATATGCTAAAAATGGGGTAATTTAAGGCCTGAATTTTAAATGAAGAAATACTTTGAACAAGATGTTTGCTAGTCTATGGAAATTATATGAATTCACTTGACTATCTTTGTAGCTTTCTGCATTTGGATATATAACAGTCTAATATAAACAAAAATGGAGCCACTCAACTTCAAAAAGTCCAAGGTAAATTTTTCAGTATCGCTCGAAACAGAGAAAACCCACCTGCTCCTCTTACGTGTTGTTCTCCAACAGGAGATCAGTTATAGAGTTTCTATCACTAAACTCATGTTGAAGTGAAATGCATAAAAGGAGCAGGTAGATTTTCTCTGTATCGGGTAATGCCAATAAATGTAACTTTGACTTTTTGAAGTTGAGAAGCTCCATTTTTGTTTGTCTGCTATTTATGTTAAACAAACTTGGACCATCTTGGAGCCAGTACCCCTTGTTCAGGTGTAGCAGAGTAATTTTGATTTATTTCAAATGCTGTGCAAAGGATGTGAATATTGGAAAACTTTGCTGTCAAACTGTGATCATAGGTTGCAGGTCCTACTCTGATTGTTGTTGAATGGGAGAGTATCTCACTGAAAACCACCAGTCCAACATATATCTGTACTGGCCCAGAAGGTGAAAGTTCTCCTGCTCAGTCCTTCCATGTAATGGTCATACAAATTAACTAAAATGAGCAGTCTACTACATAGCATGATCCAAAATTGATGTGCAACAGAAAACTATACACAGTAAAAATCAATATTGCTAAATCAGTCTTCACTGCTGCCAAGTGATGTGCTCCTATTTAAAAACTTTGTTTATCTACTATCTGACATCCTCTCTCTTACCTCCATTGTGCCATTCACAATTTGGTGCCCAACTGTAAAGAATTCAGGGGAGAATTCATTATTTCTCAGGTAGAATGCCACAACTGCAGAGAAGATGCGCACCATGGTCTCATCACTAAAGGCATTGATAGTACAAATGTTGAAATGACGCAAGAATCGTGGCGTCACTGCATTTCTCCCTCCACCTGGTGGCCCCATAGCTGCAATCAGCTGCACATCAACCAGAGTGATTTTGGAGGTGTCCTTTAGGTCATACCTGAGGATGTGATCATAGTTTACATGAAAATGTGAATGCATCACAATCAATTCTAAACACCATTGCAAAAACATTTCTAGTTTTGTAATTACCAGTTTCCATGGTCAAAGAACTGTCTCAGAAGCTCAATAGGTGGTTGTGCACCATATTTTTCTAAGGCTGGCATATTCATGTCATCCACGAATATGACACATTTCTTCCCCATCTGAGGTCCATATACTCCTTTACGTCTTTTATCCAGCCTGTCCATAACAATATTCTGAAAGAATTTTTGATTTATTAGTATATTTGTTGAAGGTTGAAAAGTCTGCCATATTGAAAACTCAGAGGTTGATAAACTAACCAATGAGAGGCTTTAAAATTAATATAACAGTTTTGTACATATTTTTGCATTTCTCATTATCAGAACTAAAAAATACAATTAAAAAAACATTTGTCACGTAAACAAAACACACATTTTATAGAAGGGGAGATTTACTAAAGCTGGTGCACACAGAATCTGGTGCAGCTGTGCATAGTAACCAATCAGCTTCTAGGTTTTATTGTCAAAGCTTAATTGAACAAGCTGAAATTAGAAGCTGATTGGTTACTATGCACAGTTGCACTAGATTCTATGTGCACCAGTTTTAGTAAATCCACCCCTTAGTCTCTTATATAGCCGTCAAGTGGAACTTTGGGATTTTTTTTAAACCTTTTTCTGTTTCTACCTTTCAAAAAATACTTTTCTTTACAAACTCTATAGCTTAAGCTGCAATGTATACACATAGCTGAACGAGTCAGATCAGTGATTTATCCTATATGGGACAACTCAGCCTGAAGTTATGGTCAGACAAATTGAAGTAAGAAAACAGTTTATTAAAATCACAAATAAACATACAATGTGTACTAAAAGAACTACACTGCATCTAAGCAAAACAAACCATAAACACTATTTAATTAATTTTTAATAATCAAAGCAAGCTCCCCCATCCATCCATGTCTCCATGCTTTATTTTGCTGAGAAACCACTTTGAAAAACACCCCTCTTGCATTTCTGGCCACGGCCATCTTAGTTAAGGGCAGATGAATTTACATCCTAGATTCTGCAATCCATCTGCCTTAGCTGAGAAAGCCCCTCCTCCCCTCTTGGGATGTATAACATAATTTGCCTAGGCATGGAAACCAGAAAGTAACTGAAAAAAATGTATAAAAAAGTTTAAAACAAATAAATATAATATACTTTCCTATCTATCAACTAATGCTACCAGCATAAGGATTAACAATAGTTAATATTGATTGAGAGAGTGAAGTTCTTTATTGTGTTCCTCTTTCAAAATCAATAAAGTAAAGGACGCAGTGACTGTCCATTCTACAGAGAAATCAAAGTAGAGCAAAGCATCACATCTAAATGATACAAACCTGTATTTGATTGGCACTGGTCCGAGCAGAAAAATTAATGAAGAAGGGAAAAAAATGTATCCTTGTCCAGATTGTTCATTAGCTTGTCCTTCACGTACACTGATTTACCTGTACCAGTTGGTCCTACAAATAGCAAGGGCCTAATGAAAAGTGAAAATAGTCAGTTAAACGGCAAAAAGATTACTGATTACATGACAGTTTGAATTAATGTGGACCTGAACTCAAAAAGTGAAGATCTGGTATATTATAGGGAAAATCTAAAAATAGTAATTGTGCTTAACCAGTACAGTGGAAAATTTACAGTTTGTCCTAACTTCCTCCTATAAAATAGCAGTGCACTTGCTATGTCTGTGGACTGTGCCTACAGCTTATAGCTGTATATCTGTAGTATTCCATCATCTAAGGTACTGCTGCCTCTGAATAATAGTCACAAGGTTTACATGGAGATCTGGTGAGGTCACTGCTGCGCTGCTGCTTACTGTTCTCCTTGCTGAATAAGAAACTGTACCTGAGGAGTTGTAGTGCAAGGATCTCCCTAATTCATTCATTTGTGGATTTTTGCCTTCTCCACATCTCCTGCTGCTTCTTGATCATTACTTCACCAATCACCAGATCAATAGTTATCAGGGAGTATCTCTGATATGAGGAAGCAAAGCCCTGTCTCTATCCAGATGACCAACCTCACACAGAGAGACGCAGTGCAGAACATGGCATAAGTAAATAAGTGATGAGGGAAAGATCAGTTGCAAGGAACCTACAGGCAAAACTGGTGACAAGTCCTTTGTTTTCTGCTTGTCTTTGTTAGGCAAAATGTTCACAGTACAGGTATTAGGTGTCCAGTGATTGTGAGCACAGAAAACAGTACACTTACTTAGAGTACTTGATAGACATGTCCATGAGGAAGGTATATCTGACAGTATCCATGGTTGGAACAATAATATCTTGAATTTTGGTGTTTTTGTCCCCCACATTTGTGCTTTTGATAAATTCATTCCAGTGAACCCAGCGACCTCTGCCTTTCAACTAGAAAAAAGGGAAGAATTAAAAATTGTCCTGAAATTGTGTAGTTGAAGAACAGAACACCAAACTTTTTTTTTATAGCTTTAGACCAGGGGAGGGTGAGAACATGTATTCAGAATACATCAGAGCGCTATTTGCTTGCTCTCTATATAAATATATGTATATATATATATATATATATATATATATATATATATATATATATACACGGTATATACACACTGTGTGTACATGAAGTTACCATCTCACTTATTCATGTAAAGGTCAAACGTGACCACTTCCAAAGCTACCTATTGGTTCTTTAATACAATGAGTAGCCAAATTCCAGATTTGAGAGGGAACATTTAGAGTGACTAATGCATTGTTTCATCATTTGCTTGGTATGAAATGCAAATGTTAGGGAAATCATTTGCTTTAAGGACTTATAACTGTTGCGCTACAAAGAAGGTCTTTTTCATGGACACATAATGTGTAATCCATTTTATGTGATCTCTCTACAGTCTCTGGCTTATATCTGCACTACAGGTAAGGAGCAAGAAAGGATCAACTGAAATTTTCCAAGATAAACTAAAGATGCTAATGCTCAGAGCTAATCATCTTCAGTAATGTTTATTCTATGTGCCAAAAGACTTACACAGTTGCATCAGCACCTATAATATCATGTGTGGCTTTGTGTATAGGGAATCTTTACAGTTTATATGATGTATCAAGAAAACTGAACAATAAAATAAAATAATTTAAAGGATTAAAAACAAGGTTCAGAATAATTTTAAACAAGGGTACATACATGTGGGCGGGTGCAGGTCCCCCTTTGTTCTGCAGGTAGCACCATGCCATTATTACAGATGGAGTGGAGTCTGTCACCCTATGGACTCCATTAGTATCTCAGAGGTGTCAGCTGTCTGATTAGACATTGCAAGCCCTCAAGATCTCCTGCAGCTATCTTGGTATATAATAGGGCACTCATATTGTATTCACGCCGACAGCAAGTGGTAGGTCAGTGACAGAGACTCTGCTGAGTAGGGAGAGTACATAGCACAGGGAAAAGTTCAAGATGAGTAAAGTTAGCTCAGGAACAGTGCTTCTGAGGAAACTTCACGGTATCCGGACCAGCAACATGAGACTCTTTGTGGCAGCATTATAGGGTTGTCTAAATTTACTGCAAGCTGCCACCCCTTCAGTGGAAGCTGTTCTCTGGTAATACAGGCCCAAGCCTGGTAACACTGTATGAATAAAATTTGCTATATTTTGTCTTAACAATGCCTAAGAAAACTGTCTTCTTTCATTACCGATAATCTGTAAAATAATCTACAAAATAAATTATTAAATCCAGAACGGTGTGTGTAATCTCACTCTGATTGCGTACCTTGGGCCTAGGCCCCACCTACAACCTGAAGGAACAGCACACAAACTGTGACTTTAAAACATTATGCACAGTACAACTGTGCAAGGTAACCAACAGAAACTAATCAAATGTCTGCTTTCATAATGAAGCATGGTCAGAACAATAAAAGGTGACACTTGACTGACTGGTGAGGTTTTTGGAAGCAGTAAGCTTCATATGAACCCTTTTTGGTTTCATAAACATACTTTACCTCATACATGAAATCATATACCAGGCCTTTATCATCAAAAGGACATTCCCATTTTCCTATAGATGCTGGGACTGGATTCTGCTTATTTTTCCCTGCTGTGATTTCCTTGAGAAAAGTGTCAAACTTGCTCCGGCTGTCAGCATCACAGCAGCCACCAACAGACCACACCATGGAGAAAGCAAAGCAAGCCTAAAAGACAGATTTCAAGGGATTACTGAGACAATGGAAGGGAGAAGAAGCAGGAACAAGTATAGACAGTTCCACCTATAACATTGAAATGTCACTCTGGTGAGTTGTAGAATTAGATTGGAAAACTGTGCAGAATGATAGAAAATTGGGACAAATTAACTCCCCATTCATTCCTAGAGGTTCTATGTTACAGCACAACTCCAGGAAAAACTTTACTTTTCAATTTAGTGTGTGGAAGGGTCAAAACCTAGTTGCTTTTATCTCTTGGGGAGATTTTCCTTCACTTCTCATGTGGTTACAGAGACATGAAGTAAACAAAATCTCTCAAACAGGGGTACAGTGAGTAATAACCATTTTTAAAATAGCATGGGTAACGTTGAAACTCTGCCTCTATTGTAGTGATCTCTCCATTTTCCCTGGAATCAGTAAGACCAGAAGTTAAGTGACATCTTTCCACCAAGGACATAGACAACAATAGAAACCTTGTAAAGGTTGTGACCCTTTTTCACCTTAACTAAAATTAAAAATACATTTAGGCTAGAATTTGAGGTAAATGTGATAAGAATGACAGAATCAGAAGGTGAAGTTGTAGGACAACAACATCTAAGAAACATGTGTTCCTCAAGTCTCAGAGGTCAGTTAGCAGACATCATGGGGGTGATTTACTAAAACTGGTGTGCACAGAATCTGGTGCAGCTGTGCATAGTAACCAATCAGCTTCTAGGTTTTATTGTCAAAGCTTAACTGAACAAGGTGAAGTTAGAAGCTGATTGGTTACTATGAACATCTGCACCAGATTCTGCTTGCACCAGTTTTTGTAAATCTCCCCTCATGTGTTTTAACATGCCAGATTAAACCATCTGGAGTCTAGAATATTGGGTGCTTGTTCATATGAACAGAGATGACCTATAAGAATTTCAGAGATGGACAGCTGCATTTACACCTTAAAAATACAAATACATTTCTTCGTTTTTGTCACTGAAAATTAAGTATTTGCAAACTAAAGGCAAAACTTTTTTTCATTTTAAAAATATAGTAAGGGAGCGTTATAACCCCGGGTTTTTTTTTTTGTTTTTTTGCCACCTGTGTCCCACTGACGAAATTTCATCTTACGTCCTGTCGCATAGCCAAAACTAGAATTGAGGAAAAATCTCTCCAAACTGAGGGACTCCCTTGTTGTCACCAGGGTCACCAGAACTAGTAGTCCCAATTGGAAGATATCCCCGTATTCCTGTTCTGAGGACAACCCAAAATTAGTGATTTTCTTTCACTTTCACTCATGGTGATAAAGGTAACCAGGACAAATATAGAGGGTGAATCTCCTAACTGAAATAGACAACATTTAAAAACTGACAGGTGATCTAATCCCTCTCCATTCAATCAAAAACTACAAAGCTAAAAAAATAAAAAGTTTTATACTTCAAGGTTTTGTTTTCTCATGTAATGCCAGCAGCTGTATCTCTAGTCTGTTTTTATTTTACCCTTATCTGCTTTGGTTAAAAAAGCCTCTTGAGCTCAGTAGCTCAAGCTGAAATGTACGCACACAACTAAATAAGGCAAAGCAGTGACTTGTCCCTTTTCTCTTACCCTGTCAATGAATGTGAATGATTTTAAAAAGTGTCCACAAGTGGATTAATTTTGAACCCCCCATTCATTTCTTTGTTTATACTGTAGAAAAGCTAACATATGTGTTCCAGATGGAGTGGATGGTGGCCTCTCAAAATAAAGAAACCCATGTTCAAAAATTCTTTGACACTGGGAGTCATTATACCAAGCCCTAGTCATTGACACCCAAGAATTGATAGTTCACTGTTTTCAACTCCAAACCATTGGTATTTACTTTTCAGGGCTTTTCTATATGAGATCTCTAACTGGTCTCTTATTGGTCTCTCAGTTCTCGGTTACTGTTCATAAGCATTGTAACAAGAGTACGGCAGACAAAACTTAAAAGTTGGGTGATGACCTTTGGTTTAGTGAAAATCACGTGCTTACCATAATCCAAATACGAACGCTCTTACTAGTAGGTTCTTCTTTCACAGCATCAAAAATGAGCATCTCAAAGAGCCTGGTAAGTGAAATCACCACATTGCTGTTGCTAGTTGCCACCAGTTCCTGTCCAGGGAGATAAATACATTTTGAATGATTAGGTTAACAGTATAGAAGCCCTAGAACTTTGAACTGGTTCTGAGCACAGTTCAGCCCCCTGGGCCAGTTCATTTGTGTAGTGTGAGTGGTCTGACCGGTTAAGCAATCTGAGTACAGACTAGTAGGAGAGTCAGGAGCAGGAAGAATCGAACTTGGGTGCAATTTAGTTTATCTGGCCCTGTTATAAGTTTACCCCTAAAGTGCATTTAAGCTCTCTTGGGTATATCTGTTCCTGTTGAGATTCATTTGCTGTGGGCTAGATCCTTATATTTGGCTTGTAAACTCCTACTCCAAAAGTGGATCTCACCCACACCTCCAACTTACAATCATTGGCATGATGCTCTCTAATTTTAATTTAAGGAGGAAGGAGCTAAGTTATAAACATAGGGGATGCCTTAAAAAAATAAAAAAAATATGGTCTCTGTGGCTGGAATAGAAAGAATCAACACATTTGCCACTATCCCCGGGACCTGCTGAGGGAAACTAAATACTTGTTATGCCTGAAGGGTAGGCTAATTGTTATTTTACTAAATCTGTAATGGCTGTACTGCAACATCCCATAGAATAGAATATTATAGACTTTTGAAGAGGATAACTGTCCTGGCTTACCGAGTCTTAGGTCTAAAATGGGCAGGATATTAGAGTCAAAGGTCTTTTTCTGTATGTTCTATAGCATTCTATTTTATTTTCTGTTTATTTGTATTTTTTCATTTGCGTTTGATCACCTCTATGAACACTGTTCTTGTAAGTGCAATTTTTTGTATTTTGTACAAAAAGTGCAAAAAAAAGCTTAATAAAAATTACCTGATTAAAAAACAGTACATTTATCTTGTGTCGTCCCCCATCTACAGTACCCTTCCAAGTCTCATATTCATTCACACCTGATCCAGTGGTATATCACTGACTAGATCTCAGAGCTGCTTGTCAGAATGTTACTGTTTGGGCCTGAGCATGGACTCTGAACCCTCATTAATTCCTATGGGGCTTGTGAGTAAAAATGGAGAGAAACTGATAAATAGTTTTATGATCTAGTTAGTAATACATTTCAGGACAAGTGAGTATAAGGATAGAAATTCTAGGAAGGGGCCTGAGAACGGAAGGGACTGTGATATAGGTATAATTGCACCAAAGACACTTAAAACCTAATCGCCAACCAAATTTTTTTATTTTTTTTTTTCATTTATTATGAATAGAGCGGGAATGTATACAACCTTTAGAAGTTTTTGCAGCCTGTGACCCCATTTTGAAGATTCGTATTTGATAGGGTGTAAGAAAAGGAAGTAAGCAAACATATTTCCAATTTCTGTCCATTTGTGGATTTTTAGAAAGAACAGGAAGTAAAGGAATTTCTCCCTAACAATGTAAACTGTGAGCAAAAAAATATTCTACTACACTATGAAAGGTTTAGAACCACTGTCACGATTTTATTGCTGTCTGTGTCTCCATGAGGAAGATTTTTCCCTACTCCCTCTCCAGGTACAGGCGCCAGAGAAAATATAAAAAAACCTCCTCTATGGATTCTCACCTTGCCCCAATCCATCAAGCTTTTATGAGACAAGAAGTGAGGGAAAATATTCAACTGAGAAACAGACAACAATAAAATGGCTGTCTGTAGATAAAAAGGGATGTCTGTAGACAAAAACAACCTGTTCAGCTTTGACCAAAACTGAATAATGTCTTTGCTATAGGTGTAGGCCATTTTTGTACCTCATGAATCCTGAATGGAAAGCTTTAAGGACAGTGCTCAGGACTTTACCTATTGTTACTGTTCACCTTGACCAGCACAGGAGTGAGCTCTTTCTCTGATTCAAACCCTCTCACATACACTTTCTCTCTCCTGATGCTGTACCTCTGAACTCAGCATTTGAAAGCTCACTTTTGTGATAGTAAAGGCAAACAGTAACACTAGGCCTCTCTTAGCAACGTCCTGGGAGTTTTCTAGTCAAGCTTTATGAGGTACGTACATGGCCTACACCTATAACAATGGCATTTTTCAACTTTAGTCAAAGCTGAACACTTAGTTTTTAAGTACATATGCCCCTTATCTGCATAGGCAGTTTTTTGGTAAAGGTGAACTAACCCTTTAGCCAAAAACATCTGTCTTTGTTGCTGTTGGAGGGTTTTCTTCTGGCTGGTGAAAAGGTTGTCCTTGGGACAGTCTTGTGAAAGCTCTCAAGGTAAGTTCAAACATATGCAGGTCAGAAACCTTTGCATAATAGCACCAGTTCCCGATCCCCAGGCAAAACGCATTGCTCGTTAGCAGATGCGTGGGAGTGCAATTCTTAAAGGCAACCTCACGCAAAAAAACGATGCATTTTCAGGTGTCGGAAACAGCAGAGTGCCGAAGCACCATGCAGTTCCACGTGTCTGCATCTTGCAAACAAGGGTCAGGGACTTTTTCCCTACATTTCCTGCAGGTACAGCACCCCATTCAAATGAATGAGCTGCTGTGCCCACGCAAATGCACCCGCACAAAACGCAGAGGTATGAACCTAGGTTAACGGAGTTCTCAATTCACTCTATCCAAAACTAAAAAAATGTTTTAGCTATAGATACACTTTAATACACTGTAGAAACAGAGCAGAATTACAGTATATGGCAGGTCTTATAACAGGAACTAATCAGATTCCAGAGCATAGTTTCTAAGTGTTGTAACATTTGTGGAAAGGCAACATAAGCTAAATGTTTAACCAAAGGAAGATTACATATATAACATCTGAGGTGTGGAATTCTGTCCACACAGATCATTGGTTCACAGTAGCACGAGTCAGGCTAGGTTCATACCTATGCAGTTTGCATTGCGTTTTGTGGTGCGTTTTTGCACATGTGTTTTTGCCGTGTTTTTTATGCGTTGTGCTTTTTTTTTCTTGTTGCTAGGCAGAATTAAAATACAAGATGCATCACACATGCTGCAAAAACGCACTACATGCTTTTCTGCAGATTTCCGTTGAAGTCTAGAGAACAATAAATGCAACTTTTTGCATTAAAAAGAGTCCCTGACCCTTTCCAAGAAACGCACTGGGTGAGGATGTGAACATGTCCCATAGCAAATCATGTTAAATGTACTGTAGTGTGTTTCTGCAAAATGCAAAACGCTGCGGAAAATGCTTAGGTGTGAATCTAGGATAATGGTTCACCATTGTGAAAAATAACGAGAAGTTTTAAATACAGTATATGTGATTAAAACCGACCTTGCAGTAAAATAAAAGGCCTGCCTATTAGATACAGACCACCTCCTCATGTAAAAACACTGCCTAATAGTACTTGAAAAGTGTACCTGTAAAAAAAAATGTTAGCTTATCTATCGAATTTACCCCATCTGCCTCCGGGACACCTAAGCATAGTTATTCAGTTATATTTTAATACAGAGAAACAGGCGTGCAACGAAGCTGAGACAATATTAGTAACAGAAAAAAAACACTTAACAAGGAAACAACCACTACAAAACTCTATACCACAGCAGAATTGTACCTTGCACTGTTTCCTAAGAAATCTTAAAGCTGGTTGTATAAGCCACTGGAATAGGTCTTCTAATAGAGCTAAATGTTCCTTTGTTTTCAAGACCTCAGGAAGAGTGTTGAGCCAAGACTTCACTAAGGGTTCCCAGCCTAGCTGTTGGGGTTCCAGGTAGATCATACCACAACGGCTTACTGTGGCTGGCTGCAGATAGGAAAAAAGTTTTTTTATTTTAATGTTCATATATCAGCTGAGAAAATAATGGTTCCCACAAGACAATGGAAGACATACCGAAGCTTGGGAAAGGTCCATTGTTTCAAAGATGAGACTCATTTGTGCTGACATCTGAATAATCTCACCGCTCATTAAGCAAAGCTGTGGACAAAGAAAACAATTTATATCCAAATTTTCCATATATATATATATATATATATATATATTATATATATAATATATATACTGTATATAATGTTTTGTCTATTATTTTACCTTTTTATTATCGTCCAGTACTGTGTTCATACTTTCTATCCACAATGTATCAATAGGGCCATCAAACACTACCCACTTTCTTTCTGGGGTCTCAGATAATGCAAATTCACGAAATGTGTTTGCAACAATGCCATCAGTCCACTGTAAAAAATTTAAAAACTTTATATTAGCATGAGTGGACAAACAATACAGTTAATATCAAAGCCCTTTTTTAATATCTTAAATAACTCTTAGGACTTTTGTACATATGTTTAGCAAATGTATTTAAAACAGAACTCAGGATATTATTTGTGGATACAATTAGAAAGGAATACTGCTTTTAATGTGTTGTTATTACTGTCTACGTCCCCATTCGGAAAAATTCATTCAGGCTGACTAAAGCTGGAGGTCATTCTGTGCATGCGCTCCTGTTATTGCCTACTGAATAACTCATTTGGGACCAGGGGGAAGATGTAAACATAAACAAACAGCTACTAGGCATCAGCGGTGGCGGTACAGAATTACCTTGTGTACAAAAAAGGCAACAACCTCAATTCCTAACTAGCTTTTGAAGTAAGGTTCACAAAAAATAATGTTCTCCCAGCACACTTACCAGTTTTAAGCAAAAAAATACACACAAAAATGGCACTAACATTTTATATTTAAAACAGAGGGTTTAGTTTCACACATTTGCGAATATATGTGGAAGTAGCACTGCTTCCCAAGACTCCTCTGTAAAGTGCGGTCTTAACTCTTATATTTGAGAATCTCCATATTGGAGCATATATAGCAGTGGACAAATTACGAGCAGGTATGCCTGCAGGCAGTCCATTCCTCCTTAAAGGCACAGGGACACATTAGAAACCAAAGCAAGAGCACAATGGCAGCTGAAGGCCAATTTCAGCAAGCAAGCTATATGTACATAAATGGCAAAAACATCAATTTATAACTAACTTTTAAAGTAAGAATTAACTCCACGTTCAGTCATTCTGAACGAATGACTTCTATGTACTCATCTCAACTCCATACAGAAATACACGTGTATGTCCTTAAAGCAATGAGATGCACTACAGACCATTTCATGTTCAGGATCTTTCTGACAACAATATTCTGCGTACATTTCTACACCTGTGTGTATGAGTCCTATAGGTTCACTGGAGTTGGTAACACAGCAATGTCAGTGCTCACAGACACAACAGAAAGCAAAAGAAAAAATCTCTAAAATGAGGAAAATCCTCCCAGACAGTTGTCACAGAAATAAATGTCTCCATTGGAAGATGTCCCCTTTATTTCTGTTTTGGTGACCACTCATAATTTTTATTTTTTCCTCACTTTCAGTGACAATGGTAATGGTTTATAAGACAAATAGAGAGTGTTATTTTCCCCAGCAGAGAGACAGACAGCAAAAAAAAATAATAGGGTTGCTAATAATTTGTTATTTTATTAAAATCTAAAAAAAAAAAAGTTTTAGCTTAAAGTGGTAGTGAAGCCACTCTGTTACTTTTTACCTATAGGTAAGCTTATAATAAAGCTTACCTGTTGGTAAAAAGAATATCTCCTAAATGTGCACCGTTTAGGAGATATTCAGGCTTTTCTTATAGTAGCGCATGCGCTCTGAAGGAATGGCATACCCATGCCGTTCCTTCAGAACACTGTGCTGTGTCCTGAGACTCCCGTGGGCATGCGTGGGAGTGACGTCATCGTGGCAGCCAGATGGCCGAAGCTCGCGAACCAGGAAAGAAGACCGGGTGAAGATGGAAGCCTCTACAGCGGTGACAGAGTGCCACTAGAGGGCTTTGTTTTAAGGTAAGTTTTCCATAATGTGCTAGTATGCATCGCATACTAGCACGTTATGCCTTTACCTTGCAGGGGATTTTTTTTTTTTTTTTTTTTGAGATACGGTTTACTACAATTTAACAAGACAGAGACTGCAGTGAATGGGGCACTAACAGTAAGATTTAGAAGGGAAGGAGACAAAGGGACAGCTCTACTTGTAGCCACAACATTCTACAGATGACCAATAAGTTTCTAAAGGATTCTCACTAGGTGTCTCCGTGAACAGGGGACAGATACCTGCATAAAGAAACATTGGCAAGAGGGCCAAAACTGAGGTGGATTTATAAAAGGCAGATAGACTGTGCAAGTGCAGTTGCACTAATTTTCCCCAGAGCCTAGTGAATGTGGTGAAGTTTTGTTTTGTAAAGAATACCCAATCAACTGCAAGGAAAATAAAAAAAAAAAAACAGCAGTTTTGCTTGTATGTGATTGGATGATGGAAATCAGCAGAGCATCACCACATTCACTAAGCTACGGGGGAAATGAATGCAACTGTACTTACTTCCAAAGTGCACAGGCTGCTTACCTTTAGTAAATCCACCCCATTGTGTTTGGGTTCAAACAAATGCCGTGCAAGGCACCGCATGTAATTTGCACGGGAATCGCACCGCATTCCTGTGCGAATTACCTGCAATGTCTGTGCGGTGTGATTTGAGCCATACAAATCATACTGCATTCCACACCAAAAAGGTGCAGGACCCTTTTTTCACCCGCACCTGAATTGCATCACATGGGGTGTTCTCATCCATGTGATGCAATTTCTTGCAATCGCATCATGTTTTGCAATCTGTTTCAGGGTGTCATTAATTTAACATTAACAGCCGTACCAGATCGTATGAATGCCATGTGATTGCAATGTGGTGCGGGACACACACAGGATTTGTAGCGTTTCCCGCACCGCATTAGTGTGAACCGGGTCTTAAGAAGTGTTCCATGCTTGCCAGTAGCTTGACCGATATGCCCTTAAGGCTGAATAACACCACAATTTCTGTATTCTGGATGATTTCTGCATACAAGTTCTTGATGCGTTTTTGATGCATTTGGGTGTGTTTTTTATATGTTCAGGTGCGATTTTTCTGCTCTTTTTTTCTTCATTCAATTCAGGACATGTGGTCCCACTCTGGTGCATTTTATAGGTGTTATTGATGCATTCAAGTATGTTTTTAGTCATTTTGTCGCATTCGTTCCATGAAGAAAAAATGCATCATGTTCTACTTTTGTTGATTCCGGTATGTTTTTGATGCATTTTGCCGCATTCATGATGCGTTCCATACAGAAAAAATGCATCATGTTCTACTTTTGTTGATTGCTCTGGAAAGCACTGAACTGGTGTGAAATAGAGCCATTGCAATACATGAGAAACACTGTGCAAGTATTTTTGATGCAGTTTTTTATGCATTCTGGTGCTTTTTTGATATGTTCAGGTGTGATTTTTTTGCTCTTTTTTTCTTCATTTCAATTCTGGACATGTGGTCCCGCTCCAGTGTGTTTTTTATGTGTTTTTGATGTATTCGATCCATGAAGGAAAAATGCATCATGTTCTACTTTTGTTGACTGCGCTGGAACGCACTGAACTGGTGTGAAATAGGGCCATTGGAATACATGAGAAACACTGTGCATGTGTTTTTGATGCAGATTAAAACCACACTGGACTGCATCTGGTGTGAATCAGTCCTTAGTGTTGTACATTATATACCATTCAAGTTGGGAAGGAATTTTCACAAAACATCCTATAACAAAGGTTGTAGACATACCTCATGTGACACTGGATCAAACTGTCCAAACAACTGTCCCATAGTGATGGATTTTGGATTCACTGTTCTGTAGATGACTTTTTCTTCTTCCTCACACCCTCGTTCATTCATAAGAGACAAAGTATCAGCAAGTACCTGGAGAACTTTTGTTTTTCCAGAAAAAGGCTCTCCAACCAGCATAAAACTGTAGATATAAACATAATGTTCACCACACTATGCAATCTGGGTGTGCTCAATTTTAATACAAAAAGGTAAAAATGCAGGATCAGTCAATCATGATTTGGATGCTACAAAATGTAGGGAGAAGACAAATACTGCTTTCTTTAGTACTCAATGCAAAGAAAGTTATTGCTGATGTATAAGAGGGAAAACAGTCCGAGTTGAGTTCCCAGAACTGACAAACCAAGAAGCAGTTGTTAATTCTATACTTCCTTAGTTATATCATAGTCATCTATGCTCAAAGGAGATGTTCAGTCAACTCTTACCCATGTCTGACAATCATCATTTCATAGGTCTGTATCATCTTCTCCAGGAACACCTTCTCTGGCTGAACATTGTGTTTAATGCAGCACTCATGAGCACACTCCAACAAATCCTGAAAAATGTTAATGCATTTTTACATTAAATAATTAATTTGCCCTTGTTTTGCTTTAAATTGACCTGTGCATTGTCAATGAGAGCAAATCAACAGGCTCACTTTACTGAACCCATTCCCAGAAACACATACTCACCTTTCTGTCATTCCCCTAATGATCCAATCAGCTGCCAGAAGAGAAGAAAGACAGCCCTGTGTATGCTCCAAGTCACTTCAGTTGGTACCTACACAGAACATTGGGGCTTTCTCTGTTCCCATGTATTAGTGATGGGCCAACCACTAAGCACCAGTGTTTTCACATGAAATGAGTCACATGCTCATCTGTATCCCGAAGTACAAGATACTTTCTTTGCTGGAAAGATGAGCATGCACTGACAGGTAAAAAGACATAAAAGAAAACCCGGTGCTTTACCCTGTATTGCAAATGCAAATTATAACAGTATGCAATATATCATAAAATAATATTATTGTGTTCAATAATTATAGGTTACTAGATACTGTAATTGTCAAATCAAAGAAGCAAATCTCCCAAAAAATAGCCAGGAAAAACAAACATACATTACGGCAATTAAATTTAAAGCAACTTACTTTATAGTCTGCTTCAGGCAGATGAATGCCAGGGAACAGGTCACTAGTTATTCCATTAAATAATGGGATATCATGAGAAAGGAACTTAGGCTCATTTACATCCTTAATAGATCGCAAGAGCTAAAATATGAAAAAAAAAAAACATGAAGAATATTAATAAAGCAAAGGTCAGAGGATTTCACTGTCTATTTCATATAATGAATAAGTGCATTCAAAGTGTATATGAAGCCAATGTCAAATGGTTAAGATCCCTATCAGTTTTTTTCCGTCTCTCTCTCCTGTTTGGGAGATTTCCCTTGACTTCCTGTCCCAGACACACAGCAGAAGAGATATTTCCAACACAAAGGATTATCCTGTTTTATTCAGCTACTAGAACATATTTTCCCATTGGAAGATTTCCCACAACCTACTTTTCCTATGACAATGTTTTTACTGCAGACAATGGATGGAGTGCAGTGGTGCTAAAGTGTTTTTCAGGTGAAAGGAGGGGGTTTGTCTGTTAATTTTTCGTGTACTGAATATGAGACCGTGCCGGGAGACATGTACATGCACATAGTGCATGTTAGGAAGATCATGTATGCAGCCATGCCCGAAGATATGTGTATACTCATAGTACAGCTCATGTACCAGTGAACAGAATCAGGGCTATGCGTGCATTGGTGCATGTTTGTTAATGCATGAATGTGCATGGGTGGAACAGGCATTTTGGCACCCTGTGGTCTATTACAGAATTTAGGAGAGTTGCTGAGTGGTCGTCAGCTTCAATGACCCATAACCACACCTGCATCCTACTTCTTCTGTACTTTGACCCAACTTGTCTCCTGACTTCAGTTGATCCTCATCTCCAGTTATTGACTTTGGCTTATGACCTGACTCAGTCCTCTTCCTGCTGATTATGTACCATACTTCTATCCATCTGATACCAACCTATGTCTAGCTACTGATTTTGCTTCCATCTTCTGAATCTACACATCCTTTGCCCGTTTGTTGCTGATTTTGATCCATTAGACTATAGTTTTGAGTCTCATATTTGCGAGTTCCTGTGCTCCATCAGTGTGACAGCATCCTGCACAAGTTCCAGTCCTGCATCAACAGCATCCCAGCATTACCTGGACTGTCATCTGGCCAGAACCTACCACAGGCACCCATGCCACTCCTTGCCTTCCTATACCCTGTCGTCAACTCCAGGGGAAGCAGGACAGGAGGTATAACGAAAGCCCTCTCGTCAGCTTGGCCTCTATCAAGTGACAGATGGATTGGAAGTTAATGCTGTAACCATTATAAAATATCATGAATAATGTGCATACATCACACCAGCCACCAGCCAAAAGCTGTAGGAGTTTCTGAGTTGGGGAAACAGAAACTGTCAGCACAACAGATAAAATGTCAACCCAGTTGGAATCAATGTACCCACATCCATCTCCCATCCTTTACTATACATGTCTATGTTGTAATTGTAAATATTGGAAAAAATTTTGTATAGGTATCTCAAATTCACCTTGTAGGTTTTGAAAAGAAGGTCTAATTCCAATACAGCTGATGAATATAAACTATGCCTATAATACTGCCAGGGGGAAGTGCTAACCATTTGGCCACTGTGCTGCCCACATCCTTCCACACTCCAAAGACAAGCTGGTAGGTTAATTGGATCCTGTCTAAATTGGCCCTAGTATGTGTATGTATGAATGTAAGTTAGGGACCTTAGATTGTATGCCCCTTGAGGGTTAGGGACTGATGTGAATGTACAATATATATGTAAAGTGCTGTGTAAATTGATGGCACTATATACAGTAAGTACCTGTCATAAATAAACAGATATGACGCACTATTTCTCCCACTGACACCAACAGTGGGGCATAATCCCTTCTACTGACACCCATGATGGGGCGCTATTCCTCCTCCTACTGACCATAGGCGCTATGTAACTGACCACCAACCCTGAGGCAATGTTTATTTTCACTGATGCTAGGCCTGGGACATTTTCTACCTCCACTGGCCCCCCTAAAGTCTGAAGGACAGTAAACTGGCCCTTTGTTTGAAAAGTTTGGAGACCCCTGGTTTAGACTGTAAAGGGTATAGGGTAGATGAGTCAGGCAGATTGTTTACCAGAGTACCCATGGGAACACTGGAACAAGACGTTTTTGTACCAGGTCAAGTCAAAGCCTAGGTCTTTACACATGTGACTACTACTAAAGGTCTGAAACAATACTTTTTATATGAAATTTAAGTATTCCACAATTTTTTTTAATTATTTACCCATCCCAGCAGGACTGTTAACCCTTGAGTATAGGTCAACTTTAATCTCGTTGCAACACACTGTAGAAAGTAGGGGCATTAAAGGTCAGAGAAAAGCTTCATTCTATAAAACACAAAGGCTTCCAGCATTTTATAGACCTATTCTTCAGGATATTTCACATACCATACATCCCTCTACTTATATATAATTTTATATAATTGAAATATATCACCATATCCTCAAGCCAGCACTTACTAGAATATCTTCATTTTCGTTGGGGAATTTCAGCTTCAAGTTTCCAGCAGCCACTAGAACTGCCTTCACTGCACGCATGCCATAATCATAATGAAACTGGGAGGATAGCTGCTCAGAACACAGCCTATATGTCATTACGATCTTGACTGATAAAGGCTTTGCATGTAGAAACCCATATGAATAAAGTGAGATCTCTGCAATCAGTGCATAGTTGGGAACCATCATAGCTACAGTCCGGAAAAGAACCTGTAATAAATGATGTAGATTTATAAAGAAAATCTAAAAAGTGATAGATTCACTACTAGATCCAAACAATGTAGCCTAAATAGCAGAGGAAATTGTTGTCAATGAAATCTGCTGTGGCCAATGACAAACAAACCCTTTCATATCTGATTGGATCCAAACATACAGGGGTTGATTGAGCTTTGTGAATGTGGTAAAGTTTCACTTTCCAAAGAATACCCAATCATATGCAGGGAAAATGCAAAAAAAAACAGTATTTGGCGTCACTTGCATATGATTGGATAATGGAGGTCAGCTTCATCTCATTCATTAAGCTCTTGCAAAGTGCAACTGCACTTGCAAAGTGAACAGCCTATTTGCCTTTAGTAAATCAAACCCATAGAGTGCTTAAGCAAATATCAACCTTTTCATTTCCTCTCACCACCCCAGCCTTGCCATTCAGCAGTGAGGCCACTCATCACAAAGAATTTCTTCAGACATTCTTGTAGATGTCGACCTTGGTACCACTACTTTCCACCTGTCTAGCCTTACTATTGGCTAATAAGGTCACTCTTAACGTTAAAGGAGGCTTGGTTCAGATGTTCTAAAAGATGCGCTTCGTACCACTTCCTCCTACCTTTCTGGTTACCTAATGGTTAATAAAGCTATTCATGACATTAAAGAAAGCTTGGTTCAGATTGGTTTGGCTATAAATTAACTCCAAAATAGAATGCCAATAATCCTGGGGCGCAAAGAAAATTAATGTAGATTAACTTTCATTTTACCTTGAGGTTGTCAGGCAGCTCAGATCGCCCTGCATAACCGGGGTTCATAGTAATAGCGACAAAGCAGTTTGGGTTGAGTTTCAGTTCAGTGCCTTCAAAGTTGAATATGTCCATTTTTGTCTGAATGGCTCTCTGGATGCAGAGTATCTGCTGGGCCACAACAGACAACACCTCCAACTCAATACGGTTAAATTCATCAAAGCACGCCCATGCTCCAGATGATGCCAAACCCTTGAAGAACTAGAATAAAAAGAAAACACCTAAACAATCATGTTACAGAGTAATATTCTGGTAATCAACTCTCAAAACAAACCCCTAATAGAAAACAGGCTCATATTTCACAAGGCAGACCAGTAATCTTAATAATGTACACCTGTGTAAAATGTTTACTTTTTTTATCTTCATAATGCAGGCCATACATGGGTCAAATAACAAACACATTTTCTTTAGAAAATTGGAAATTTTGTGCATTTTGTATTCTGATGGTGCTATAATTGATTTAGAAATTCGATCAACCAAGCCTTTAATTTCATTTCATATTGCTATAGAAAATATTATTTTTTGTGGTCAAGAATTTTCTTTTCTATCCAGGTCACAGCTCATGCTCATCTCTTTTTCAATTACATTTCTCGCACGATTCTCCCATCACTGATTAGACATTCATTTGTTTTTCGAAAAAGTTCCAACATGCCCTATCACTCAAATGTGATGGTCGCACGAAAATCGGCTGTTGTGATCCACTAATGGTGCCAGAATTCTAAGAAAAGATTTTTGAAAGAAAATTCTTTCAGAATTCGACCCATGTATGGCTTTAGTCTATAGAAGGTGCAGGCGGCAGATTATTTACCAGCTTTGATATAAACCACATTGAATGAAAGGACCAGCAGTCAATCAAACACTCATGCATAAACATATGCAATCACTGAGTATGCAGAAGAGACCACTCATCACTGTGTTGCTGCACTTTTATTTAGCTGGCGGGGGGGTTGTCCTGATCAGTGTTCTTGAATAAGTAGTGCTACCTCTGCAGTGGATGCTAAAGATCTAGCTGTGCTTTTTTGGCAGCGGTTTTTGGATCAAAAGACTGGCAGCACAGAATTACTACATTTGTTTGGCAGTCAAAACAGTTTCTATATATGATTCAACAGTGTATTTAAATGCTTGTCTAGAGTTCAGTTTTAAGCTCTTGAAACAATAATCATTTACACTTTGTTGAATGGTGGATGTGCTATATAGGTGTATTTTATTTAAAAATATGTCATGAACACATTGCTCTTCCCATGTTGTAGAATGTCTGCCATATAGAGTCTGTACATACCTTTGACATCGCTATGTAGTCCAGACCATCAGAGCAGTTGAACACCACACACTGCACAGCCAGGGCCTTGGCCAAATCTTTGGTAGTTTCAGTCTTTCCTGTACCTGCAGGTCCCTCAGGAGCTCCACCAAGATTAAGGAAAAAAGCACCAATCTACCGAAAAAAGAGGACATTTATCAAAAAAGGTGGAGACATAGGTGATATCCAGAGTATGTCCAACTGCAAGCTCTGTGTCCGTAAATTCAGCCATCCAATTGTAATAATTTTGTACATACCTGAGACAAACTTTAATAACATTTGCAACGTATATGTTTCAAACATGTATTAACATGCATAACATACGTAGCCATGTATTTGACTTGCATAGGGTGAAATGTAAGTCACCAGTAAATCCATTTTATGCAACCCAGCACTATTTCTCTTCTATATCACCTCTCTGTGCACCATGTATAGAAAAATTACAAAATGCGAGTACGGATGTGGGTTATAGGGAAGTGGCATTGTTTTCCTGAAGAATTTTCGTTCTATATAAAAACTCCTCCTAAAAGCCTGGTGCAATGAGTCTAACACTATCTTCCTGTATATGTTGGACACTTTAACAAGTGGTTTCCCTATTACAGTTCCTGAATCATTTTCCCAGTAAATTTTCTTTATTTATTATGGTCGATGGACTACCAAATACAGACTGAAAATAGACATATTGGGGTTTATTTACTAAAGCTGGAGAGTCCGAAATCAGACTCCCTTCTGCATAGAAACCAATCAGCTTCTAACTTCAGCTTCTTCAATGAAGCTTTGGCAATGAAACCTGGAAGCTGATTGGTTTCTATGCAGAAGTGAGTCTGATTTTGCACTCTCCAGCTTTAGTAAATAAACCCCATTGTCTTTTTAGTCATGAACATATGAATCATTGCATATTAAAATTTTGTATTCTCATTATCAGCCTACAAGTGGAGATTTATGAACCTTTTCAAATATTTACAAATTTCCTTATCTACTTTGCAGGTAAAAGCTTGATGATTACAATGCCCAACAGCTCAAGCTTAAATCTACACTGAGAGCTAAATGATTTAAAGTTGCAGTGATGAAGGTTGCATTTGAGGCTTGAGCGGAGCAGCAGGAAAAGAATAATACAACAGAGTGCAGCTTATCTTTGAACGGGATGTGTTACACTTGTCCCTCTTTCACTAGTGAATAAGTAAAGCTTTTTAAATTCTATACATCATACCAGAGTTCTGTAGCATCTGTCTGTAAGAGGTGTAATGACCAGTCGTGGTGAGTTGCCTAGGTACTCATAAGCATATTTCACATCACAGTTAATGATTCGCACACGAGCATTCTCATTTTCCCAGTAATAGCGCAGCTGGGCCAACCACTGGAAGTCAGTTTCATGAGAAACACCTAAACAGACAAATTTACAATTATTATCATAGAAACTTAAAGTGCTCTGCCATCAAGAACTGAAGAGAACCCCCTGTAAAAGATCAGGATTTAATACTTACCTCTGTGGTGGGTGGTGAGCTGAAACTTCGCTCTCTTAAAGAACTCTGGCACCATTGTTATCTGACACTTTGGTTCAGACAGTACAGTGCAAATTTGCCTTTAAAAGCTATTCTACCTCTAGCTGTGTTCTTCATTTTCCCCATTACATTTAAGGTTCATTCACCCTAGATGCAGTGGTACTGTTCTGGGTGGTTAATCCAGCGCAACCCCACCCATGACAAGACAAAATGCCTTGTTGATGCGCTGAAGAAAAGTGATGCATGCATTACTTTTATTTAGTGCACTGCAGCACTGTGTGAGGTACCACCTAGCACCATGTGGCCATGTGGCCAACTGAACTTTATGAAATGTCTGTGTGATATTTCAATAAAGTTTATTTAAAAAAAAAAAAAGGAACAGCGCAGCTCAGAGTGATGATCCCACAGGGCTGCAGTGCACACTAGCCATTGCATTATAAAGCAGAATTCCAGCTAAAGCCAAACTAGTCCTAAAATGCCTGTGCAACACTTATACTAACTAACTTGTTTAAGAAGATGCCTATACTTACATATTTTCAGCCTGTTCCAGTCTTCTCTGTCAGCCAGTGGTTGCTGCAGGAGAGAGGAGGCATCAACATGGATTGCACAATGGTAGCCTATGGGTGACATCATCGCTCCTTCCTTTCACAGCCATTTTAGGTGCTTTCTCTATTACCTCGCAACTGCCACTTGCTGACACAGGCGATCACATGACTGGACCAGAGTGGGCTGAATATATATACATCTTTTTTACACAGGTTGATTAGTATAGGTGTTGGAGGAAGAGGGAACATTTTAAGGCTAAGTAGGCTTTAGCTGGAATTGTACTTTAATGGCCTTTCTTTCTCCTTCTTCACAATTCTTCAGTATGTTGTGTCTTGCCCTGTTCACTTTAGGCTACTTCACACTGCTCCCTTACAAAAAAGTGGTAAAACTGCATATGCATTTTTGCTGTGTTACTGGTGTGTTTTGTGCACCTGTGAAAAATACAGGTGACTTAAAAACCACACCAAACTGCAACCGCGGGTGCATTTTTGATACATTATTGCCATGATTTTGATGCGTTTTCCATTCATTTCAATGGGGAGGTGCATTTTGGTGCGTTTTCTTACTGCTCCAAACAAGCACCAGAAATGCAGAAGGACTATGGAAAACACAATGGAGCAGTGCGAGAAGTTCAATTGGATTTAAGGGTCATGCATCTTTCTTCCACTTTTTTAAATGCTAAAATGGAATAAAAACAGATCAGTGTGAAGGCAGTCTTAAATCAAACCTTGCAGCTAAAATGCTAAGCATCCCTCACCTTGCTGAAAAGAAGCATAAATATGAAAAAAAAAAACGGTGAGGAAGAGGAGAGTTAGATGGTATACCTACCTTTTCTCTAGCTTTCATCCACAGTGCCCAAGCAAGGGTGACGATATCCTTCTTCTGGTGAGATCTGGGTAATGTAGAGTACTCCAAATCTTGCTGAGAAGATGCTCCCAGCACTGTGCTGCAGAGTCTTCTTGTGGAAAGTTCACCATTCCCCAGCATCTCGTCAACAGAAGGATGATGTTACCCCCTGCACCATAGAAGCTAGAAGCTGGGAGAGAGGTAAGTACAGTGGTGTATTTAGGTTTTGTGCTGCCCCCCCCCCCCCCGAGAGAGCCTGACACCAATCAACACCCCCCACCTGAGAGAGCTTTCCACTACCACCACCTTCCATACACCGGCCACCCCCCCCCCCCCCCAGCGAGAGAGAAAAAGACACTCATCTTCACAGCCCAGACATCCCCTGGAATGACAGTCAGGCTCTGCATACACCGTCAAGCAGCCCGCAGCCTCTCTCAGATCCCACTTGGACCCATGCTGCGTGTGTCCCTTCCACCGTCTCTTCTTCCAGGGGGCGGTGCTGACCCCCTGAAAAATGCCACCCTAGGCAAATGCCTTGTTTGCCTAGTGGTAAATACACCACTGGGTAAGTACATATAATATCCATCTTTACTCCCCTAGAGATGTTTGTTTTTTAATGTTTATGCTTTCTTTTAATAGAGGAGAGGGCAAGGGCACTCAAAAAGTGGACCTTGCACAGTTTTTCTAGTTGCCATGAAAGATAACACAGAAAAGCTCTGTGCTGCTGCTGTTGATATCACAGTAGCCTGTTTGTAGCTGCCAGTGGCACATAATCGTCCACTGTGAATGCAAAAGGTTTTTTTTTCTTTCTTGCCCGGCTGGCTTGCTGATCTTGCTAGAGTTAAAGGTAAGTTCACTGAAAACCACAATTATTTTCTGCGTCTTGGGGAGTCCAGGGCAGAGATCTCTGCTCTTCATTTCCCAGGCCTGCACACCTGGCACAGCCATTACAAGACAGCTCTATGCTCTGTTAGTTTTTTATACCTTTATATTTTACGCAATGCAACAGAAGGGGAAATAACAAGAACAGGTGGGAAGCAACAAAGCCAAGGCCTATGACAGAAAAATATAAAGGGTGGGGGAGCACTCGACCCAATGGACTTCATGCCAAGGCCTATGACAGAAGAAATCAAAAAGGGTGGGGGAGCACTCGACCCAATGGAATTCATGCCAAGGCCCCAATGGAATTCATGCCAAGGCCTATGACAGAAGAATATAAAAGGGTGGGGGAGCACTCGACCCAATGGACTTCATGTACAAGTATACATGAGTCACTTTTTGGTGGGCTGACTCTATTTTATTTTTGGAGCCATCTATGACAAGTTTTCTGTGAACTAAAGTCATTACTTCTGATCTCCATACTCATACCATGGAAGACAGAGGATCAGCATGACAACCAAGTAGTTTCAGGATTTTTGTAAGATGAACAGCTACAGTAGACCATGCATAGCTCCCAACTGTCCCAATAGAAGATTCCGTTATTGGCCAAAGGCGGGATAGTCTTCCCTGAAGAGATCATTTTTCAGATATCACCTAAAAGTGAGCAGAGTAGGCGATAGTCTGATAGATTGGGGTAGAGAGTTCCAGAGGATGGGGAGGCTCTGGAGAAGTCCTGGAGATGAGCATGGGAGGAGGAGACAAGGGAGCTAGAGAGCAGGAGGTTGTGGGAGGAGTGGAGAGGAAGGTTTGGATGATATTTGGAGACAAGATTGGTGATGTAATTTAGGGCAGAGTTATAAATTAGATTATAGATATAGATGATAGATTAGAACCTTATCAGGTTTTCATTGCTGCCTGTGCCTCCATTAGGGAGATTCTTTATTTGTCCTGTTTACTGTTATCTTCAAAAGTTAAATTAAAAGAAAACCCCAAATTTTGGGTAGTCACCAGAAGAGAAATAGAAGAGAAATCTTCCAATGGGGAAACTATGTCTGTTGACCCTGGTGTCACCCCAGGATTCCCTCACTTTGTAGGGATTTTCTCTCACTTCCTGTTTTGGCTATGGGACAAGAAGTGCAGGGATATCTCCCCGATGGGACACAGATGGCAAAAAAAACCGACAGGGGTTATGACCCTCCTGTGCTCTATTCGAAATTAAAAAAAAGTTTTGCTGTTAGTTTTACTTTAAATTGGATTGTTAAAAATAAGTATTGTTTGTATTGCTATTACAATGATAGTGTTATAAAATTAAAGTGTATGCTGTGACCATAGATCTCTTTTAAATCATTCAGAAAATCCTCAGTGTCATAATTTAGCTTATTAAACTCCCATGTTTCTCCTAAAACAGTGGTCTCCAATTTGCGGCCCTTCACTTGCTTTTATCCAGCCCTTGGACCATTATGCCCCCCACTGTCAGCAACAGTGGTTCATAGTTACTGACACTGACAACAGGGCAAAATTCCTCCCACTGACACCAATGATGAGGCATTATTCCTCCCACTGACACCAATGATGGGGCACTTTTCCTCCTACCACCACCAAAGATGGAATACTTATACAAGGGATGTGAGCGCTCTAAAAAATCTACAAAAGCCGCTATGCACAAAGGTAATCAAAAAAACCCTTAATAAAAGCAGTATAAGATAGGTGCAGTGCTAAAAGTAATAATAATGAACCTATTAAGACAGGTAAATAGCAGCAATTGTATTCTCAAGCCTTCCGCCATATTTCTTATGGACTGCAAGATGTACAGGGGAAAAAATTCCTGCCTGATCCCCCGGGAGGCAATCGGATATTCCCTGGATCAACTTTACCTATACAGGGAGCAGCACCCGTTCAACCCCTTGTGGGGAACTCTGGCAGATGTGGATCTCCATTTAACAACCTTGGGATCCTTTTGATGACAACCCACCCCTTAGAGGGAAGACATCCCCATTCCTGGCTTGCTCTGATGTCCTCTGGAGTTACTAATACAAGTGCATTATATATGCGCGTCCAGTGAGTGCGCATTCTCTATATCATTATTGCACAGTCACCGATCTCCAGGAAGCAAGCACCTTAAAGAGCACTTTAATCACTTCTTTGAACTGTTTATGAACTGGAATTGCTGCTATTTACCTGTCTTAATAGGTTCATTATTATTACTTTTAGCACTGAACCTATCTTATAAAGATGGAATACTCTTCTTCATGCTGACACCCATGATGAGGCACTATTCCTTCCACTGACACCAAAGATGAAACACCATTTCTTCCCCTGACACCAATGATGGGGCAATATTCCTTTCACTGACACCAATCGTGGGACACTATTCCTCCCCCTAATACAAAAAAAGGGACACTATTTACTTCCACTGACACCAAGATACTTTGTACTCCTGCTAGCCACAGTTTGGCCCTCCTAAAGTTGGAAGGAGCGTATACTAGCCGTTTGTTTAGAAAGTTTGGAGACCCTTGTCCTAAACCTTGACACGTACAGTGAGGAAAATAATTATTTGATCCTCTGCAGATTTTGTAGGTTTGCCAACTTACAAAGAAATGAAGGGTCTATCATTTTTTATCATAGGTGTATTTTAAATGATAGAGACAGAATATCAACCAAAAATCCAGAAAAAACACATGATACAAATGTTATAAACTGAGTTGCAGTTCAGTGAGTAAAATAAATATTTGATCCCCAAGCAAAACATGACTTGGTACTTGGTGGAGAAACCCTTGTTGGCAAGCACAGAGGTAAGACATTTCTTGTAGTTGGTTACTTATTACTTAAAATAAAATACTTATTTTACTCACTAAACTGCAATTCAATTTATAACTTTTGTATCATGTGTTTTTCTAGATTTTTAGTTGATATTCTGTTTCAATCATTTCAAATATACCTATGATAAAAAATTATAGACCCTTCCACTGTAAGTTGGCAAACTTACAAAGTCTGCAGGGGATAAAATAATTATTTCCCCCCCTGTACCAGTATAATGAGCTTCCACCTGTAAATGAAATATCATAGCACTGTTGTAGTACATATACAGTATAATAAATTGTAACAGCCATGCCTATTTCAAATACATGCACACAGACCTGTTTCTATCATGTCCATGACCACATCCCTGGCATGGACATCTATGGTAACCAAAGCTCCCAGTGTGGTACGCGTTTGCTTGGACAGCTTGCCTCGTACAAGTTCAACAATGTCATTCAGCTGATGCTGAAGTTTATCATAGTAATTTTTTAATCCCTAGAAAAGGAAATAATAAAAAAAAACACAAGATAATACATTGCTATGCATTCTACTGCTGCAACAGCATTTTAAAAAGTTAAAAGTGGATTTCCCCGAAAATAAGACAGTGTCTTATATTAAAAGTGTGCTTACTTGTGAGCTACTATGGTAGATCGTGATTCAATTTATTAAATAAATAAACCCACCTGTAGTTTGCTGACACTCACACTAACTCATTAAATAGTGCTATGTAACTAAAAATAACAATAAAGCAGTGTCGCGCTCCCATATATTAATAAAAATTAGATAAAAATTAAAATTGAGAAATTAGTGTAAATTAATAAAAGTTAATATTAATTAATAAAAATTATACTGTGTATCACATATATCACTCTATAATAATATCAATGTGCTAATTATTCTTAGTGAAAACAAAATATCATCATATCAATATATCCAAGTCCATTTTTAAAAAATTAATATAAATATAAAAAAAAAATATTTGTATAAAAAATGTGCACAAAGTCCTCTTCCAATTAGTTCAGCATCAACAGGTGCCACTCCCAAAATCCACGTGCAGTGTGTGCTTAGTAGGCGCTCACCTTGTATTTTGCCTAAAATAATAGGCAAAAACCGCTTGTTGTCCTCATAGGACTGGTGTAACCTTATTCCTCCTTTTGTAAAAATTCCTCCAGATATGAAATGGACCGTTGTAATAATATAATATTGCACCTGGGGTCTCTCCACTCTATCAGTGTGCTGTATAGAGGAAATGGATGGATAGATGGATCTCTCCCTTTTCCCTCCAGGGGTCTCCCTCCACCTTTGAATAGCCTCTGTTGCGATGTATCTCAGATGGATATCATAGGATATCACACAATACATACCGTGTTTCCCCGAAAATAAGACAGTGTCTTATATTAATTTTAGGTAAAAAAAAATGCACTAGTGCTTATTTTCAGGTAGGTCTTATTTTTATTGATGTCCAAAAAAAAAAATGGTACATTTATTCCAGTTCAACAAGTACAAGTATGCAGTACAAATTACTGGTACGTTAACACCTGTTCAAATCAACATGTACAGTATACAAACAACCGTATGTTATGTTCTGCTTCTACATTTATTCAAATACAATCATGTCATCTTCTTCTAGAGCAGTGGTTCTCAACCTTCCTAATGCCGTGACCCTTTGATACAGTTCCTCAGGTTGTGGTGACCCCCAACCATAAAATTATTTTCGTTGCTACTTCATAACTGTAATTTTGCTACAATTATGAATCGTAATGTTAATATCTGATATGCAGGATGTATTTTCATTGTTACAAATTAAAGCATAGTGATTAATCACAAAAACAATATGTAATTATATATTGTGAAATATTTTTATCACCCCCATAAAAATACATCTGACCCCAATAATGATGATAACCCCACCCCCCTCTATAATGACATATCACCCCCATAGAAATACATCTGCTCCCAATAATGATGATTACCCCCCCCCCCCCCCCCCCAAATAATCTGTCCCTATAAAAATGCCCCCCCCCCCAAATGATAGTTTGTCTGCTCTTCTCCCCCTCTATAATAATTTATCACCCCCATAAATTATATATCTGCCCCCCATAATAATTTATCTGGGGGGTACAATGAGAGCCCCCCCCCCCCCCCCACTGTACGATGGGGTAGGCACCAACCTGGATCTGCCCCCTGAACTTGTTGGGTGATGACATCGGCCACGTTCAGGCAGTTCATGGGGTCGGTCGTTCGGTCGGTCGGTTGGCCGGTCGGGTCGTTCAGGGTGGGAAACTTCGGAATGATCGGAGCTGCGGGAGATCTCCACACAAATCCTCTGCTTCAAACAGCTGCGTGCGTTCCGGCTCACAGCCCGACCAATCAGGGATGGACCGGTCTACCAATCAGCGAAGGCAGAGGGAGTTAAATCCCCCTCCCCAAAGAGGGGGGCGTGCCCGGGAGTGATTGACACGTGTCTGACAGCTGCAGATTGTATAGATTCTATCTGCCTGGAGACGGATAGAGGAGCGGTGTCTCGGTTCCTAAGACCATCGGAAATATGTGTTTTCCGATGGTCTTAGGCGACCCCTGTGAAAGGGTCGTTCGACCCCCAAATGGGTCGCAACCCACAGGTTGAGAACCGCTGTTCTAGAATATCATCATAACTCTCCATATCTGAACCTGCAATTCCTTCCTTCTTTTGACTCTAATTCCTTTAGAGTTAATGATCCCAATCTCTCATGTGCAGCAATACTGCTCTCCTTAAATTAACACTTCTTGTCCAGGCAGCCTGATCGTAGTGCATTGGCAACACAGCTTTCAGTGATTTTATCCCATGAATTCTTCACCCAAGTCACCACCTCTTGCAGTTTAGGCTTCACAAAGTTCCCCCGTTGATTTCTATCCATTCTGTTTTCAATGTAATCACTGACAATGTCAAGTCTCTGGAGATAGGCTGTCATTCCTGCAGGAATCATTATCTGATCTATTCTCCTCTCTTTAAGGAAGTTCTTCATGTCTTTAGTGCGGTGAGTGCTAGCAGAATCCCAGACAAGCAGACCTCTTTGGGCACCTTTCAAAACACATGGAAACATTAAATCTAACAAATTTGTTATAACGGTTTGAGTGCACCATGCCTTCTCTGTTTCAAGAACATAAATACCTGAAACTTAGTCAGTCTTCTCTTTCTTCCCCTAGTGATGATAAGAGGTGGGACCTTCTTTCCATCCAGACGAATTGCCAAAATACAGGACACCCGTGCACTTTCGTAACCAGTGGAGGGAATAAAGATTGACGAGGCGCCCTTCTGATCAATTGTCATTTGAGATCCTTGACCCATATACACTGCAGTTTAATCCATAGCAATCATGTTGGAGAGTTGGTATTTAGTAAAGTCTATGTTGTCAACAAAAGACTTAAATGCTAATGCAGGTTTAATAATTTCAGCGTCTTCCAGCTTAAACAGTGTTGTTGGTCGTCTTAGACAGATCATATCGCCGAAGGAAGCCATCCAGCCAGTGTTGTGATGCTTTAAAATTGGCTAAGCCTAATTCTACCGATATGTGAGGTGCCATTGCAAGGGCAAATGCTTGAATATCAGCCCTATGAACAACCAAAGCCTTTGCTCTCCTGTCAGCAATCCATTCACAGATGACGTCTTCCAGCTCAATAAATAATGGTTGCCGACCTGATCCACACTTGCGCTTCTTAGCATGTCCCTCATCCATCTTGTGACTGAGGTTGTCATACTCTGCACGCCATTTACGTACCATGCGGAGATCCAGCTTATGCTTCTCACAAAAAGCTGTAAGATTCTTTCCCTGGGAGTTTTCCACGATCCCTTTTTTGTACTCAACAGAGTAGCTCTTTCTTTTTTGCATTCATGTTGTCTGAGGGTAAAAATATTAATCCGATGTTATGCTGGACAAAAGACAGCATTTACTCTTGTACTGTGGCATCCCTAGGTTTGGTGTCACCGGGTGCGATAACACTTGGTGACACCACCTCGGACAATCCCCACAGGATGGATCGGATCTGCGGATTGAGCATAATGGATCGGAGTCTGATCCATTATCCTCCCCAATCCACACATCCGATCCATCCTGCGGGGATCGTCGGCTTGCAACCTAACTGATCTCTCCACCAGCTGCACAAAAAGGTACGTTTTAAAGCAAGCCCCTCCCCCCCTCTCTGCCTTCTCTCTCTCTGCCCTCTTTCTCAACTCCCCCCCTCTCTCCCCCCTACCTACTACATGAAGCTGCAGTGCTGTTACCAGGGTCGGGGGATTACATACTTACCTGCTGCATACTCCCCTCCAGCACTCTGACTTCAGCAGCCGTGGCAGGGATGTGGACCCGCCCCTCTGCTGAAACTCCGAGGAGGAGAGGTGTCCGAAGTGCCTGCCTCACTGTCTGTCCCCTCAATGCCTGCTTATTTCAGAAGCGGCACATACTGGGACGGACTGAGCTTCTCATGGGGCCCAGTGTGACCCCGGGTCCTCGGGCAGTGCCTGAAGGTCAGTCTGCCCCTGGTGGAAGTAGGTCTTATTTTCGGGGGAGGGCTTATATTAGCAGTACATCAAAAAGTACCGCTAGGTCTTACTTTCGGGGTAGGTTTTACTTTCGGGGAAACATGATACAATTCATTTATAAAATCTGCATATAAATAGACATTTACTTTTTTGTTTTCAGATGCAGTGATTGACAGTTGTGTTCTACCACAGGTTTATTCTAAGACAAGAGTGTAACTGCTGACATACAGTAGCATCACATGCAGATGCTCTGGGGCAAGGGGAGCTCAATCTATATTTTAAAAGAGATTGTAAAAAAAGATGCTTATTAAAAGAAAGTATGACCAAAGCTTGCTTTGTCATACTTCTCTTGTGGGTACAAGGGTGCACTTTCTTGTGCTCTCCTGTGACCCAGAATCAGCCAACAAGCGAGCCAAACCTGACGTCACAAAGATGCTCCAGACACTGGAAGAATCCTGACAACAATGCCAGAGTCCACCCAGATGCTTGATTGGCAGCTTGCTCAGACTTTCAATGGAGGCCTGAGCCATCCGTTCCCACCCTCTCTCCAGCCTAGCGCTCCAGTGAGCACTGGAGGGGCAGAGCAGTCACTGCTCTCTGCTCAGTGCAGACAGTGAACTGAGCGATCAGTGGTCATATTCTCAGCACTCAGTTCTCAGATTTAGAGACAGTGTAGGACAGCTGCAGCATCACAGCTGCAGACATAGAGGTGAGTATGTGTATGTTGTTTCCCACAGTTCTCCTTTAACTATAACCTTCTGTTGGACAATAAAAATCACTACAATTGATGAGTCTCTGACTATCAGCTCTCTTACTGTGGAAGACTAAAGCTGGCCATACACAAAGTGA